CACATAGTGCTAAGGGATTCAAATGACTTTTCTGAAAGTTCTAGCTGATAAGAAAAACTCTAACTAAGAGAAATTTTCCTTACATGGTTGCATACACAAATGTATACATGCATACATTTGTAACATTTTTTCCTTTTATCATACATTCCTCTCTATTTTTTAAGTTAAATATTAATTAATGGCTTAAAACCAACCAGAAAAGCAAATGAGAGAAAGCTGAGATGAGAAAGAGCAGAGCATATAAAAAACAGCCAATGACAGCAGAACACTGAGATATGACAGACACAAGAGCCCCAAGACCAGCCATGTGCGCTGCAGAGGGGATGCAGCTGGAACCCCTCAATGCCTGAGGGCGTCACCACCAGTGCCCAGGACAAAATGGTATTTGAGATGGCCCTAGGTCATGAAGAAGAGATAGCACTGAGAATCTTTTTGTAATAAGACAAATAAATGTTAATTTAATTTTTGTGTGTTTAAGAGCCAGTGAGAGGCTCAGCAGGTAAGGGTACTCATGCCAAGCCTGATGACCTGAGTTTGATCCCTGGGACCCACATGGTGGAAGGGGAGAACTAACCTGCACAAGCGTACCATGGCATGCATATGTGCCCAGCCCTGACACAAAGAAACAAAGACCTTAAAAACCAGTGGAGATGAAGCCGTCTGTGGTGTGAAGAGAAGAATCCTGCTATTGAAACTCAGCCAAAAGAACCAGAGAGTCACTGTGCCCCAAAATTCAGTGGTGCCGAACTCTCCATTCTTATTGAATCCATGAAGGCCAAACTTTCGGCACAGCACCCAGTTACCCCTCAGCACACAGAAGGGAGCTTCTCAGATGTGGCCTTCCTGTCCCCAATCCACTGTTCTAGCCCAACAACAGGCTTTCTCCAAAGCTGCCCAAGGAATTCAGATGCTAGCCAGAGTGGAGAAGCATCAGCTAGCAGGAAAGATGCCAGAGACAGAGCCAGCATGCTTTCAGATGTCCTCCTCGTCTTCGTCTCTGCTGTTAGGAGATGGCTCCACCATTTGCTCTGGGGCTCAGGCCAACTCCTCCGTTCCCCACTCAGAGTCCAATCTGACTGAGCAGCCACTGCACTGCTCTGCCTTCACAACACACCCCACGTCCAGTCATGCCCCCACGCCCCAGTTTCCCAGTGTGCCCCAGGGTTTCCCAGAATGCCCTAGGGTTTCCCAGCATGCCCCAGGGTTTCTCAGCATGCCCAGTGTTTCCCAGTGTGCCCCAAAAGCTTGGTCCTGTGAACATAACCAACTCTGGTCTGAGCTATCCCAAAGCCTCCTCCCTCACGCCCCAGCCAGTGTAACTATCTGAAAATGCCATTTCTGTCTGTCCCCAAACGCCCAAGGGCCTTCCATTCTACTCACAATAGACCCCAAAATCTTCAGCAATATCCACAGCAGAGTGTTCAAAACAGAATCTGTGTGTGTGTGTGTGTGTGTGTGTGTGTGTGTGTGTGTGTGTGTGTATGGTGTGTGTGGTGTATGGTGTGTGTGTGGTGTGTGTAGTATGTCTATGGTAAGTGTACGTATGGGGTGTATTGTATGCAGTGGGCTGTGTGGGGTATGTGTATGTGTGGTGTGTATGTACATGTGTTGTGTCTATGTG